CGGGCAGGGCTGCGGGGACGAGCCAGTTCCGCCCGGTGGAGCCCTGCTTACTTTTCCAGCTGCAGCTTCTACGCTGTCCACCCTCCTCCTCCCTCAACTTGCACGACGCTGAAAATGGTTGCGATTTATTTTCTCAAGCGATCATGTTTTTAAGAGTCTCTTTTGCAGAGGTTTGAGTGTCCTGTCTGAACTCTGCTGTGCTCCCACCACGGGGCTGGACGGGATGGACCGGCCTCCGGGGAGGGGCACCCTCCTCTCGCCGGGGAGTCGCTGACTGGCAAGCGAGGCGCCGCGCAAACAAGCCAGGCGGTCATCGTGGTGGGCGGCCCGCAGAGGGGCTGCAGTGGCCTCAAGCGGGCTGCCGGCTGGACTCCAACGCTTCGCTGTGTCCCTTTCCCTCAGGAAGGTTAACATGTGCTTGGGAATGTGATCTCGCTCCTGCCCTAAGGAATTTTTATCACCAAATGAATGTTAATGAGTTTTGAGCCCATGGTTTCTCTTTGGGAGAGGCAAACCCACTTTGCCCTGCGTGCGTTGAGCCTGGGGTCTTCAGCTCGGCCCGGCGCCCAGGCTTCCAGAGCGCTGCGCCCGGCCCTCGTCCTTGGCCCCCAAGATGCTGCTACACAGATGCCAAACGGACACCTTCCGGGGCCTTCAGTCCACGTGACGTGGGGCTCACACCCCAGGGACGCATGTCGTGAGCCGGACAGGACGGGACCCTCCAGCAGCGCTCTGCTGAGAAGGCACTTCTCGACCCTCTAGAGAGGAGGGCGCGCAGGGGTCTGCCAGCCCCTCCCCTCCTTCCAGGGAGCCACCTGCCCCCCTCCCCGTCCCGGAGCTGAGGAGCCCCCAGGGGCCTCTGTGCCTCCCGCCTCAGATGCAGCCCACGCCAGAGGGGCTGCCTGGACAGCCAGGGCCCGTGCGGCCAACAGGGATTCAGAAACCAAATGTGTGTTGTGGCCACTTTGTGTGTGTCTTTGTCTTATTTCAATCTCACCCACCACGTGTGGTGACGTCGTCAGTGCCAGGGGATGTTTCCTGCCTGGCCGAATCCTCAACTAGCTCGTCTGTTTTGCTGGCCTGAGGGGTGCGTGCATTTTGCGGGCTCCGCTCGGACAAGGAAGCAAAACCCTCCGGGGCGCGTGTTTGCCGATGGCCCTGTCGTCGCTGGCAAGGCAAGAGCGTTTCTGCGCCTGGGCTCCCTCCTCCCGGAAGAGGTCTGCCCGTGGCTGCTCTGAGCGGGACAGGGGGCTGCAAAGAGACGGACAGGCTGGGCCAGCCGCTGAGCAGCGCTGGTCCCGGTGTCCTCGGGCCACGTCCCGGAGGGTCCCCCTAGGGGGGTGACGGTGTCTGGGGAGGGAAGGACTGTCTGACTCGTGGGGTGGGGGCAGCTGCTGGCCCCGGCCCTGCCCCCTCCTCACTTGTCGGGGGCCACACGCTGAGCGTCCCCTTTCTGAACAGCCATCCCGAGGAAAAGAATCCGCCTTGGGACGCACGCCAGTGTGGCAGGGGTGAGAATGAGAGTCGCCGTGGCGGTGAGAGCCAGCCTCGCGGGGGGCTTCTTCCCCGCCCACCTGGCCGCCCGCCGGCCACCCTGAGGTCCGGGAACCAGGCCTGCCGAGCCCAGGGGCTCCGGCCATGGGAGCGCTGCCCAGGGCCCCGTCCACCCGTCCGCCCGTCTCGGGGCGGCTGCTGGGAGGAGCCCTGAATCAGCTGGCGTCCGCCAGAGCGTGCTCTTCCTTGACGGGCCGAGGACTTGCTGCGTCTGGGCAGCGGGGTGGCCTTGGCGCCGCCTTCTCGCGGAAGAGAGCTGGCGGGCACTTTTCCGGGGATCCCCAAGGGTGAGACTGTAGCCTGCCGAGTTTGTGTTTTTCGTTTTCTGTTAGCTGCTCTTCACCTTTGCTTATTCGCACTGTTTTGTAACAAGTCACCCAGAGTAACTCCCGCCTGATCCCCGAAGGACTGACGGCTGCTTAGCAGACACTCGCTCCTTCCGGCCATCTCCCAGGAAGCTGGCCTCTCAGGCCCCGGAGAAGTGCCGGCTCGTGGCGCCTGTGTGGCGGGGGCGGTCTTGGCTCGGAAAACTGCCAGCCACTCTGTCGGGCCCCAGGGAGCCGGGCGGAAGAGGACCATCGGGTTGCGGCGTCTCCTCAGCACCCCCTGCTGGTGGCTGCCACGGGACCGGGTGCCGCCCGAGCTCCGGAGCCCAGGGAGCCCCCCTCTCGCGGGCCTGGCCACGGCCGCCAGCCCCAGCTCCACGGGTGGGTGTGGGCCTGCCTGCCCGGTGCAGCCCTGGGGACGTCCTCTGTGAAGGAGGGGCCCCGCTGTCGGGAGGACCCTGCCTTGGCTGCTCTGTTCCGCGTCTGCCCGGCAAGTCCAAAGTCCTTTCCCAACTCCTGGGAAGACAAGACCTTGAGGTGTGTGCAGACGCTGGGGTGCCGATCCTCCGGCTTCCCCTCAGTTCTCCTCTCGCACCGGATGAGTCCGAGTGGGCCCCATGGGCACCTGTCCCCTCCCCGCAGCCTTGGCACCTGGCAAGCCCGTGTCTCGAGCCGGAGGCGGCGGCCACTTCCCTGTCCAAAGTGGCTTCCGGAACTGTCATGGAGCGCAGGCTGCAGCGCCACACCGACAGGGCCATCCGCCCTGAGCGTGCTGCCCGGGGCCCACTCGGGGCCCTCCAGTGTCCCAGGACCAGGAGGCTGGCGTGGGAGCCAGCAGGGAGGCCCGCCCAGGACGCGGAGCGCAGGGACCTCCGCCTGGGTGTCCTCCCCGGAGGCCGAGGGGCCCTGCGGGTCCCGGGCAGATGGCTCCTCGGCTGGCGCAGGACGGCGTCCCCAGTTCCCTGGGGCCCTGAGGCAGGGCAGGCACAGGAGGGCTGTGACCTCGCGGGACACAGCCCCTCGGCGGTTCTCGCCAAGATCCAGGAGCAACACAAGCCTGCACGGACAGGGCAGCGTCCGCAGGCTCCTGAGGCCAGTGCGCCCTTCCTGAGGAACTGGCTCTTGCCCTGGCCCTGTGCGGCGCTCTCCCGGGCTCTGGTACCCGTCCCGGGTGTCTGGGCAAGGAGTAGGTTGGCCCAGGGTCAGGAGGGCTGTCGAGGGGACGGGAGTGTGACTGAGGGGGGCGGCATCCTTCCTGATACAAATGTCAGCGAGAGGCCTGCTCAGTGGACTTCCGTACTGCAGGGCGTCGGCAGACCTCTCTCCCCCCGCCTGTTTCTTCGGGTTCAAGTGGGCTGGCAGGCGAGTGCCGGGGCCCCAGGTTCCTGCGCCTCCGTCTGCGGGCGAGTGGTGTGCCCAGGCCTCCAGGCCGAGGCGGGCCTTCCTCACCAGCACCTGCAGCTTTCTGTCTGCCGCCAGAGCTGGCTGCTGGTTTCCCTCCCGCCGCCCCCTGCCCTGAAACCCACCTTCCGGAGTCCCTGACCAGCCCCGCGGTCAAGAGGACAGGCCGAGCTCTCGGCCGCAGAGGGCGGGGGCAGCTTTCCTGGCCGTCAGGTGGGGCCTTGCCTCTCAGCCCATGGCTGGCTCAGCTCAGGGACGCCACGCCTTCTCCCGCCGTGCTGCAGCCACAGACCCGTCTCAGCCAGAGCCGTCCAAAGCGTCTCTGGCTGGAAGTGCCAGGTGTGCCTGGAGCAACAGGAAACAAAGGTTCTGAGGGCAAAAGGCTAAGCGCTGGGTGCTTGAGTGCCGAGGCTTCTGTGTCACAGATCCAGCCTGTACCGTGAGGCAGACCAGCTGCGTGATGTCCCGGGCTGGGACCAGGAGCACCTGGGCGCTGTGCTGCCCGCTCAGACGCCGCCCTCCAGCCGTGCCGGCATCTCATCCGCCGGTTCCCCGCTTGGGACGCGTCTCTTCGGCCCGCCTCAGACTCGCCCTGGAGAGAGCGCTCAAATGGGTCCGGCCGGGCTTGGCACGTCCTTTCTGCTGGAGGCTCCGGCCCCGGGGAGAAACGGGCATCTCGCGTTCCCAGCGCGAAGGGGGCGCAAGGCCAGGCCCCGGGTTCCGACTCCTCCCACCCCGCCTCTGGAGTCCGCGGTGAAGGCGGAGCGGCTGTCCGCAGGCCCTTGCTGTTCCCGGAGCCCTTTAAAGCCTCGCGTGAACACGCTTGGCCGGTGCGGTGTGCGATGTGCTCACGCCTCTGCCGACACCCTGTCAGCGCGTCGCCCGTGCCCGGGACAGGCCCACGGGAAAGCCCCGCCCAGGGAGGCTCAGGCCCTGCTGGCCCGAGCGTGTGAGAGGCCCGTGGTGTTTCTGCTTCTGTGACGGGCTGCTGCTCCGCGTCACCCTGCATCCCAGCCTCCGTCGTGCCCACCCTATGTCTGATGACCCGCGTCTGGGTGTGGGTGAGGCGGGTCTCCTGCCTCTGGCAAGGCCTCTCAGGGCCTCCGTGGAGTGCTCGGGCGTCTCTCGTGGCCAGCATGCCTCCCCAGGCAGGGCACGCTGCAGCTGTGACGACAGTTTCCTTCCCCGCCAGGCCGCCCACGCCAGGCCACCACCTGGCCACAGCAGCACGGCCTCCGTGCCTTACCTGGGATGGCAGAGTCCGGCGGTGTGGCCGTGGAAGCTGCCTGCCTTCCCGGGCTCTCCCGCTGCGTCTGCCCAGCGCCCTCACGCCCCGGCCCTCCGGTCAGGCCCCGGCGTGTCTCGCATGCACCCCTCTCAGCTGTGGCCTCGGCGCCACAGCGTCTGTTCCCGCATCTGAGCAGCGGTGTTCCTGAACACGGTACCCAGAGCTGCGTCCCCAGGCCCCAACCGGCACAAGCGGCACGTACGGGTCCCACACGCGGTCCCGGTGAGCCCACTTTGTGACGCAGTGGTGGCCGGGTCCGGTCCCTCCTGTTTACTTTGTGCCAGTTGGTTTGCAAGCGTGACTGTCTTCCAAGGCCGGTTTGTTCTACTCAGATAACTGATCTTCTCACCTCGCAGCAGACGCGTGTTCCCTCTCCCCCGTCAGCCACGCAGACCCAAGCCTGCCGTCGTGGTCGGCCTGGCGGTCCCGGGAGGACGCTGGGCCTGACCTCGGGCCGACACCGCCAAGTCTCGTGTCAACAGAGAGCGGGTGCGAGCTGAGCGCCGCCAAGTCCAGCCCGTTCTGGAGAGCTGTCCCCGTCAGTGACCGGATGAGGGTACTCGGTGTCGGCCACACGGCTCCTCATGACACCCAGTTCGGCTGAGCCAGGCTGGCTTTCCTGGGCAAGACCGCAGCCGCACTTGGCCTCGCAGCTGGCCTGGAAGGCGAGAACGGCGGGGCATCGCCCTCTGCCACGGGGGCGCGGCGCAAGGCAGGGCAGGCCCGCACGGCCCTCGCGCCGAGTGTGCCGGCACGGCCGCCGCAGCACTGGATGGCGTCCTTGTCCTCCCACCCGCCTCGCCGCCTGCGACCGACCTGAGGGTCTTCCGGGGAGCTTCAGGCCCCTCCGTGAGCCCCGCCCAGGCCGCCTCTCTCTGGAATCCGTTTCCTCCCACTCTCCGTTGCCAGCTTACGTTCCAGGGAGGCCCGTGCTCCGAGGTGAGCCGTCTGCGGGTCCCCTCGAGCCCCCCTGCGTCCGTTTCGCCTAGAAACACGCCCAGGCCCGGGGACGGTCCGGCGAGGAGTGCCGACAAGACTGGCCCTGAGGCCCGCCTGAAGGGAGCGCCCCTCCCGCCGCTGCGCCCGTTTCCCGGACGTGGAGGCAACACGGTCCGGGCGCCGGCGTGCTTTCCTCGGCAGCAGAGCCCCGTGGCGGAAGCCCCGCCGTCCTCGCCGCTCCCTGGACCCGTCTCCTCTTTCCTCCTTCCTGGCTTCGTCCAGGCGAGTCCTGAGCTCCAATCAGGACGCGCCCCAAGGGCAGAGATGACTCTCCGCCGAAGATGCAACGCCGGCGCAGCCCTGTCCTCAGAGCACACGTGCCGCCTGGTCTGCTCTGGGGTTTCTGGGCCACGCCCCGGAGCCTCTCCTCGACTCAGAGCTTCAGAGGACGCAAGCCTGGGCAGAGGGTCTCGTGAGAGCACGCTGGTACAAGCCCACTGTTTTGGAGCCTGGAGACTTACTTCATGCTTTCTGGAGGGGTTAAGCGCAACGAAGAGATGACTCCTTATGAGAACCAAAAAGCGAATGATGTTAGATGGCCAGTGAACTCTCGCTTTCTCTGTCAAGTGGTTTCACGATTCTCCCTCCAAAGGCCTCAGCGTCTGTGCTTACTCTCAGCAAGTCCCGGGACAGACGAGGGCTACAGGCCCTGCTTCTCAGGGACTTTCTGGTGGCACGCCGCCTCCCCTGGCGGATGATGTGAGGCTGGGGGAGTCAGGTGCCAGCCTCCTCTGCGGCGTTTTGCCCACACTTCGGGGAGTGTCAGGGACGCCGTGTTCCAACAGCAGGACCTTCCAGATGGGGCCAGTTTCCTTACCGGTGCTGCCTGGCTTCAGGTCAGGACGTCCAAGGGTGCAGTTACTTGCCTCAAAGCACCCACACCCTGAAGTCAAAGACGGCCTCAGGCGAGAGCACTCCCAAAGCAAACCGGACATTTTGCCCACGCTTCAGTGCTAGGTCTGCTTGGCAGACCCTCTTTCCAGGCATCTCAGGAGCTTGAGGCTCAGAAGGACTCTGCCGTCTTCCGTGAGAAGAAGGTGGGTGTTGGTGGGCGTGGGAAGGCTTGTCTCGGCCCAGACCCTGGAGGCCTCACCTGCAGCCCTGGCCAGACCTGGCCTGGCAGGGCTCAATGAGCGGCCAGGGCACTTGGGCACGGGCGTGCAGCTGGGCGTCACGGAGCCCACCCTCGAGGCCGCTCCCACTCTGGCAATGAGATGGGCTGAAGACACCAGGGCGGACTCCAGACCGGCGACTGTGTTTGACACGAGGAAACACAGATGACGCCGACTCACGGAAGAGCAAGGCCGAGATGAAACGTGCTCTCCGGGGAGAACTTTCCATGCTGAAGCGCCACAGAGGGACTTAGCTACTGCACGGGCTCTTGCTTCTGAAAGGACACACCTGTGTTGGTGCCCCTGGGGTGAAGACACTGTGTCTGAGGACAGCGAGCGTGGCTGAGAAATCCAGGTGGGAGAGCAGAAAAGCCCCGCTCCTTCTGCGAAAGACCCTGCTCTCCGGACGGCTGACTCCCCTCTGCCCGCTCCGACCCACGGCAGCGAGCAGCACGCGTGCCACCGGCCTCTGGTGGAGGCAGCGGCGGGCAGCGTGGGTCTTGGACGCGCCCGCTCCCAGGACCTCCTGAGCTGTGTGTCCCGTGACACCGCTGTTTGAGAAGTGTTCCAAGGGGCTGGACGTCCTCGTCACTGAGAAGGAACCCAGAGAGGCACATGCGTGTGAGCCACTGAGCCTGAGCCAGGCGAGGAACAGGACGCTCCAGCGCCGCAGCGGCCAGATCGGGTCCCATTCTTCCTACCGTGGGGGAGGTGAAATACTTTCCGTAAGATGGAATGTGGACAAGGTTCCTCCCCTAATCCAGACGTCCATCTGTTGCTGCTTGCCTCTGGCTATTTGTGGTGAATAAGCTGAGTATTTTAAAATGGCCAGGCCGCCTTGGAAAGACTGCAGGGTTTCCAAGTTGTGGACGAAATATTTCTTAGGTAAACAAGTCAGATTTGGGAATATCCAAACATGGACAAAACACTTTTCAACCTGACGCATAAAACTGCCTGTAGCTTTTGCAAGTGGTTTCTTATTAAAACAATACTGACACGCTCGGGAGTTACGATCGTTCTCTGAAAAACTGCTTCTGACGGTGTCTTGGAAAGGGCAGCTTGAGGCTCTCGCTACGGCAGGTCTCAGCCACAAGGCTCAGCGAAAAGCCTGGGCCCAGGACAGAGCACTGAGCTTCCCTGGCTCCGAACCGCCTCCTGACACATGCCGCCAGGGCCTCCGCCGGCCGCCTCTGCAGAGGTGAGCGCGCCGGGCCCTCCTCTGCAGACGAAGCCAGCGGGGCCTGGGTCTGCCATGCCTCTGACCAGCGGCTGGGGGGGCCGGGGTCCCTGCCGGTCACTGCGCGCTCGAAGGCTGGGAGTTCAGTCTGGCACCCAAGAAGGGGTCGCCTGGTGCCGCACAAAGCCCGGAAACCAGTATTTTCAAAACACCTAGGAAGAAGCCCCTCGAAGATGACGGATCTGTCTTCTCCTGGGGTGACACTCCTCAGTTAGGGAACAAAAGCTAAAGCATGCATTTTAAGTTCAGCCTCCCTTAAAGACTGGCAGAGAGAAGCAATTCATGGTGCGATTTCGTTTAGTTTTGAGTCGAGGTCTCTGTGGTCTGGCTGCGAGCAGCAGCACGATCGCGGCTCAGGCGAGTGGCTGGAAATGTAGGCGCACACCTCTGTAGCCAGCCAAGTTTTTGATTTTTGTAGAGACGAGGTCTCACTATGTTGCCCAGGCTGGTCTCAAGCTCCTGGCTCAAGCGATCCTCCTGCCTCAGCCTCCCAAAGTACTAGGATGACAGGCGTGAGCCACCGTGTCCAGCCACAACTTACGTTTTAAACAGCCCGTGTGCAGCTGCCCCGAGCGCCTGGCCCTGGACCTTGCCCGGCACACTTCGCAAGAGAAACACACTGAGGAGCACCGTTTTGTTCCGGTCTCAGACCTCTGCTGGAGTAACATTCTGTGGTCCATGAGGAAGTCACAGCCAGCGGAGGACTCCTCCTGATTGCAGCCGTGCGCTTTTCACTCCGTCTCTGGACCCAGGTCATCTGGCGGCAGGACGCCGTCACACGGAAGCAGCATGGGGGGGTGCCGCATCGCAGCAAAGCCAGTGCGCGGTCCTTGCTCTGGACGGGACAGCACGAGCGTGAGCTACAGCAGGCAGCTCGAGGTCCAAGCGGCTCCTCCAAGGCTGTGTCCCGCCGGCCAGCGTCTTCCTGAGCGAGATGACAAGTGACTGGGTGACTGGAGGTGCGTTTCCTGACGGGGACAGCTGTTTGGCTGCTGCCTGCACCAGCATTTCTGAGCCGGTTCTTCTCGAGCAGCCACACGCCCGGCCGCGTTCAGGGTGCGCCTCTCCCGGTGTGACCCGATCTAAAGCCGTATCTACGGAAAGGGAGGAGGCAGTGCATCCTTGACTAAGTCACTGAGCTGTGTTGCCCCATTTTCTTTAAAGCCTTACTGTTCTTCCAGAAAAAGTTTTAAGGCACATGAAGCCCTATAAACACAATCATGTTGAAATCTATCAACTTTTCAGTATTTTTTGTAACCCAAAGGGATCTGGGCGTGTTTCAGCTTTTTTTAAAAAATGCTTCCTTCAAGAGAAGGATCGGATGTCCAACTGCTGTCACTAAGTCACGCCTAAGCCCCCTGCAGACCCTGGACACCAGAGAGGAGCCACCGAAGGGGCCAGGGCAGCGTGAGAAGACCACCTGCCATCCCAGGACTGCGACCGAAGGGCTGAGGACAGGACCAAAGGCCACCCGCCACCACGGCACGGCTGGACAAGAGCCAGGGTGGCACGCGAAGACCTGGCCATCTTGGCTGCGACGGAAGGGCCAAGGCGGCACTGGGAATGCTGCACTTCACTGGCTGCTGGAGCCACCAAGCCAGCCTCCCCGACCAGTGACAGCAGGAACAGAGGGAAACCCGGGCGTGAGCGTCCACGCCCTTGCTGACCAGCACTGGGAGGCGGTGAGGACGCCCTGTGACGACGCGCTCTTGCTTCTCGGGGTCCCGAGGTGGGCCGCTCGCCGGATGTGCCGCCCTGCCTGACCCAGAGCCCTCTCCCCTCTCGGACACGCAGCCATCGGCCCAGTGGGGCCAGAAACCTGGACCT